TACTGCGCATGCTCGCGCCAGAGGCCGCGCTTTGCATCCCGTTCCGCAGATTCCGCCCCTCCGCGTTTTGAACCACTCCTGGGAAGGGGCTATCGGGAGGCCTGGAATGCGGATCACAGGATTCGGAGCCTGCCCAGGTCCGCTACCTGCCAGCCAGTGCTTCCACCCCCTGGTGTGGAGCGAGGGGCCTGGGCATAGAGAGTTCAGAGTTGGTCTCCCACTTCTGCCCTTTGCTAACTAATCCGGGGCAGCGATTCAACTATTCTTGGTCTCAGTTCAGCAATGTGTCAATCGGGTGAACGTCAAGGGAACCGTAAACATAAGTCAGTGTTTCCCTGTCACGTGGCAGTGGGCTGGAGGGGCCGGACTGGGTGGGGTCCATGCAGACAGAACTAACCTAGACCACCTTGCGAATGCCTCCGCCCTGCTCCTGGCTGCCTTGCAGAAAGTCTCACTGGGGTGTGAGCGCACCCCTGGCACCCCTCCTCCCCCCGGCTTCTGCTCACACACGCCTCCTGCAGGCAACAGGCTCTAGTTGAGATGCAATCACTTCGTTTTCGTGGCTGTTTGTTGTTATGTTCCCCAAGTTACCCACACACCCTCCCCGCAAAGCGCCGGATCCAAGGCGGTGGTTAGCTCTGCCACATCTTTCAGATCTCTGCTCAGATGACGTCCCCGAGGGGGTCCCCCATCACCCCCTCTAAAGTCACCCTCCTCAGTCACTCCGTCTCTTCTACACAGAGTCTATGACGACCTCTCACTGGCTCTTCTCAGTTGCTTGCCTTTGCCCCTCGTGGTCACCCTTTAGCCCCAGAAACTAGAACTGAGCCTGACAGCTATTAAAGAAATGAGTGCGTTTGTGCTGCTTGTACTGTTAAGGGTATCTTCAGTTCATAACAAATGATAGCGTGTGTTTTCCGCTTATGGTAGTAATATAAAGTTTTCTTTTAAATACATTTCTTTTAAATTAGTCAACTTAAAAAGGCACACGTGTTGCAGACGAGGCAAAAAAAAAAAAAAAAAAGTAAAAGCGAAGCACAAGAGAGAAGGCCGGAAACACTGGCTTATTTTCATGGTGGAATGACCTCCCCTGTTGCTGTACCGTTTAGAGAAGTTCTCCTTCGGACAGTCGGACAGCCGGACAGTCGGACAGCCCTGCTGCTGGTGCCCATGCTCCCACGACTCTGCCCACACGTGCCCTGCTCTCCCCACACCCGTCACACTTCCCTGTGGGCACAGCCCTCCCCCCGAGCTGCCAGAACACAGGGGAAGCCTGCCCAAGGGGCCTTGTCACCCTGGTTCCCCGCGCCCACCCCGCAGTGCTGCTGAGCGAGCCCCCTCGTTCCCTCCTGTTTCCAGCAGCCGCACTTGATGGCACCAGAGCTCCCGGCTGGTGCCATCGGCTTCTCGGGAGCCTGTCTTGTTCCTTCATGGTGTTCTTGGGGTCTAGGGAGTCATTCTAAGACCCCGCATTTGCCCATTAAATATATGCCCAGAGGTATCCCCTCTGCCCTTCTTCATGCCATCCTCCCAGCACCGGGACTAGCATTGCCCAGGGAGGGTTAGCAGGGGAGGGAAGGTGTGTTCAGAGCTGCTGTGCTTGCTGAGCCCACACAGCACGTCCACGAAGACCCAGGAGTGGAACGGGGCTCTCCATGCCCAGTGCTCTTCCCGCATGACCGCCCACCCTCTGGGATGTGCCCGCTACCCACACACCCTCCCCGCAAAGCGCCAAACCCAAGCCAATGGGAGGGCTCTTGGGACACACCCACCGCGCCCCCACCCCTGGACGGTGGCCAGGTGGAGCCCATGCCAGTCTTTAACTTGGAAGCGGCCGCATTGATAAGCTTTTCCTTTCTGGACGATAAACATTTACAGTCATCGCTAGTTTGCCGTGAATCGATTTCCTTCAGGAAACGCGAGTCGTCCCGGGCTGCTGACAGTATCGGCTTCGTGCCGACTGCCTTTCCTGCGGCGGCATTTAAATGTTACTTATTGATTAGCAGGTGGGTTGTTCCTGGGCGGAACCCAAATGAATTTTGGAAATGAAGCAATTTAAAATTTGTCTCAAAACTCCGTTGCCTCAGAATATATCAAAGTCAAATCTAAACAACAACAAAAAAAAGCAACCGTGGACTTGCGGGCGTGGGGCGTGGATGCTGGGTTGCTGAGGCAGCTGTGGCTCTCTCTCCTATTCCCATGGCATTTCCCTCCTCCATCCAAGAGGAGTCCCTGTTAGTGAGCACAGCCCTGGCCCCAGGCATCCAGCAATGACCCATCCCTGCCCAAGGGCCAGCCTTGCAAACGGAGAGATGACTCCACCGCTGGCTCCTCCACCGCTTCGCTGGGTGATTTGCACATTTTCAGTCGGCAAACATCTTTATTCTTTTCATTTGCCAGGAATCGCTCAAAATGCCTTCAGTTAATGAAGAGGCATTCGCGGAATTAAATATAAATTGCTCCAAATTATATAATTAGTGGCATCCTGCTTCCACGGGGGTCCCTGGAGGAGATGAGCCTCCCAGGCGGCCGCCAGCCGCTCACAGCTGCACATGCGTGAATCGGTGTCAATAAATGTTGCAACACGAAATGGCATTTAGTTACAAATCAATAATTAATTTAAATAATTGAGTGTATTTGTGTCAATAATTTTATAATTAGATCTAATAGCTGTGCGACAACAGAATAATTTTCATTACATGAAAACAGAATAATTATATGCTTCTTTTTTTGAGAGAGAGAAAAACATTGATCCAGCCAGCAACTTAGGTATGTGCCCTGACCAGGAATCAAACCCGCAGCCTTGTGGCCTAGGGGATGATGCTCCAACCAACTGAGCCACCCGCCAGGGCATGCTTATTTTTATGAGATACTTTCTTGATAAAGGACACATACAGGTGACCTCAAAATAATGACCCTAGAGGCACACAGCAATGATAAAGTCAGAGTTGGGGTTAATCACAATCTGAGTGAGGTGTTAAAAAATCTAAGTAGTCACGTTGTAGAGCCCATTTAAAATTGTATGAAAGAATACAATTTTATTCCAGCCAGTGTGGCTCAGTGGTTGAGCGCAACCCATGAACCAAGAGATCGCTGGTTTGATTCCTGGTCAGGGCACATGCCAGGTTGTGGGCTCCATCCCCAGTGTGGGGCGTGCAGGAGGCAGCCAGTCAATGGTTCTCTCTCATCTTTGATGTTTCTCTCTCTCTCTCCCTCTCCCTTCCTCTCTGAAAGCAATAAAAATATATTTAAAAAAATAAACGTGCAATTACAATGCTAGTTGTGATTCAAAGGGTAAAAAATCAGGTCTTTTAGGAGGTAGGTGAGTTTGGCATATATGGGGTCCTGTTTCTTCCCTGGAGTTCCATGTATCTGTTTATGAAATGCTGTGTCTCTATGAACTGAGAAGAGCAGGTAAGCGGACTATGAGTGAGTCAGAGATTTCCAGAAAGAGGAGGACCCACAACTAAACCAGGAAGGGGGCAGGTGGAGGCCAGCGACCTCATCCGTACGTAACCCGGTGGAGAGAGAGTTTAGTCATGGGTTTTTCACGGTAATGCATCAGCCAAATGTCCTAGGAGAATGGCTGGTTGATTAAACTGCCATATGGCCCTGCTAATTAAAATGAAATGCTAATGAGGCATAACGAAGTTAATTGTAAACTGAGGCAGAACATCCTGTGCCCGGGATTTAAAGGACATAGAGGTGAAGGTTGCAAGAACCTGCTTATCCGTCCTGTGGACACAGCAGGTGAACCTGGTCTGAGAGAGGGAGCCCCCACCAGCAATTGCCACGGAGTCACCTTGAAGGCCTGTTCTAACCGAGAACCCAGCGGCCCCCGACAGAGGCGGTGACGCTCAGACGCCCGGGGAGGTCACCTTTCCCCTCGGGGTCCGACATTGCAGTCCTGGGGGCGTGCAGACATGCTTTGTGGGGATAACAGGTTGGTCAGAACAATAGTGGTGACTTTTACAGATGGGCTTGGGTAGGGGCACCGCAAAAATTCCTGTGTTTTTAAGGTGTTCGAAGCATCCAGAAGTGACGTTAGCCTCCTACAGAAGAAGCAGGGTGTTTTGACTAAGTGTGTAAATGTGCGAGGCCATCTATTTGTAAGGTTTTACATTTTGATCAGTTGTCCGTGTTTAAGATAGATTTTTATTGATTTCAGAGAGGGAGGAAGGAAGAAGGAGAGAGAGATGGAAACATCAATGATAAGGGAGAATCATCGATCAGCTGCCTCCTGCACGCCCCACACTGGGGATGGAGCCTGCAACCTGGGCATGTGCCCTGACCGGGAATGGAACCGTGACCTCCTGGTTCATAGGTTGACGCTCAACCCCTGAGCCACACCAGCTGGGCCGGTTGTCTGTGTTTAAATAGTTTAGAGAAAAGTTAATAGATGTGTAAGTGGCAATAGATTGACTTTAAGCCAACTACAAGCAGTAGTACTGGGGCATGAGAAAATGGGGTCCCAACCACAGGAGGGAAAGCCAGGAGTGCCACCCGAGCCTGGCGGAGTGCCGGGCTCACTGCGGGGACCCAATAAGCCGTGTGACGGAGGGGGAGCAGGTGGGAGGGATGCATCCTGGCGGTGAACCGGTGGGTGAGGAGAACGGAACATTTATTTTGTGTCCGTTGTGTTCACAGCACCGTTTTTAATGCTCAGAATAGAGAAAAAAACAGATTTCCAAAAAGCATGGGCATCTGGGTGTCCATGGCCAGAGGGCATGGCTCATCTGGACATGGAAATACCACGCCGCTGCTTCACAGAGTGAGGCCAGCCCTGGCCGGTGTGGCTCCGTGGGTAGAGCATTGGCCCACGGACTGAAGGGTCCTGGGTTCAATTCTGGTCAAGGGCACGGTGCCTCGGTTGCAGGCTCGATCCTCGGCTCTTGTCGGGGCGCATGTGGGCGGCAACCAACCTCACTTGGCTGTTTCTCTCTCTCTGTCTCTGTCTCTCCCCTGCCTCCCACTACCTCTTAATATCAATGGGAAAAACATCCTCGGGTGAGGATTAACAACAACAGAAAAGAGCGAGGCCATAGAAAAGTGGCTGAGGGTGTGTCTGAGAGACGTGGCTGGGTGAAGAGGCAGGGTGCAGGGTGTGGGGGGCACAGCCGTCTGTGAGCAGTTTTCTAGGCTCCACGTGGGTTGTGCAGGGAACGCGGGAGGGGGCAGAAGCAGGCAGCTTCCCGGAGACCCCCGAGGGCAGGGATACCGTGGGCTCCTCGTTCACCGAGCAACCGTGAGGCCACCTCCCGCATTCGGGGCCCAGAGAACCGACCGCCAGGGCTGGCTGCTGGGGAAGTGAGTCATCTGGCTGCTGCCAAAGTGGGTGGGGAGGAAAGCCAGGGAGACAAACAGCAGTGACCAGCCTCGGGGTGACTGCCAAGCCCGGCCGTCCTGCGGGGAGAGGGGTGAGAAGAGGAGGCCTGGCTCCAAGGCCGAGAGAACAGCATGCCACCGGGTCCCACAGACAGCGGTCTCCTGGGGACTGGGAACAGGGACAGTCGGCCCAGGCCTTTCTGCATGACCCCCCACCCCCGTCCACGCGGGATCTGAACTGTTGTCCAGGGGGTCAGGGAGAAGTGATGGATGGTGGGGAGGAGCCGTTTTCCACCTGCGCCCCGCGGTGTGCAGAGCGGCAGGCGGGGGAGCAGCAGGGCGGTGTGCTCAGCGGGGTGTGGTGCTGAGTGGCCTGGCAGACAGCCCCCCTAGTGAAAGGCTGTGCCAGCTGCCGCCCAGGTCTCTGCTGTGAGAGGCCACGTTCCACTCGCTCTGCTGGCCTTTGTTTGACCCCCTGGGCATTCCACGTGCCCCCACCATTTTTCTTTTCTTTTTAAATATATTTTTATTGCCGAGGCTGGTTTGGCTCAGTACATAGAGTTTCGACCTGCGCACTGAGGGTCCCGGATTTGATTCTGGTCAAAAGCACATGCCCGGGTTGCAGGCTCCATCCCCAGTGTGGGGCGTGCAGGAGGCAGCCGATCCATAACTCTCTCATCCCTTCCTCTCTGAAACCAATAAAAACAACTTCTGCAACACAATGATTCTCAAAAATCATTGATGTTTCTCTCTCTCACCCTCTCCCTTCCTCTCCGAAACCAATAAAAAGATGTTTAAAAAAAATAGATGCAGGGCAGCGGTTGGTCTGTGAGTCTCTATCTCTGAACTCGTGACGAGTCCCTGGTCATGAAGTTAGACAACACCTGGGACTGGAACCCAGGTCCCGACGAGGACGACGACTGGCTGCCTAGCAGCACGGCCTGTGCGCAGACACAGAGCACTCAGCCCTCGTACCAGCTCCCAGGGATTGTGATGCTCATTTTTGCAAGTGAGAAACCTGGGCCCAGGGAGGGTACGAACCTCGTCAGCAGCTGCAAAAATGACCCTGGAGCCCAGGCCTGTCTGATTCTGACCCCATATTCTCTTTTTTTTGTTTGTTTTAATCCTCACCTGCAGATATTTTTCCATTGATTTTTAGAGAGTGGAAGAGAGAGGGAAAGACAGAAATATCAATGTGAGAGAAACACTGTGATTGGTTGCACAAGCCTGCAACCATCCTACGTGCCCTTGACCAGAATCAAACCCGGGACCCTTCGCACAGGCCAACACTCTACCCACTAAGCCAAACCGGCTAGGGCCTGACCCCATATTCTTAAGCGGCTCCACGGACTTCAATGTGTCTCTAATACAGGGGTGGGCAAACTTTTTGACTCGAGGGCCACAATGGGTTCTTAAACTGGACCGGAGGGCCGGAACAAAAGCATGGATGGAGTGTTTGTGTGAACTAATATAAATTCAAAGTAAACATCATTACATAAAAGGGTACGGTGTTTTTTTTTTTTTAGTTTTATTCATTTCAAACGGGCCGGATCCGGCCCGCGGGCCATAGTTTGCCCACGGCTGCTCTAATATGAGCATTGCATGACTATAAAAATAAGCCCCTAAGGAATATTATCCAGTTACCACTGGCTTCGTCTGCCTGCAGCTGGGGTGGCTGAATCCTAGCAGGGGTCCTCAAACTACGGCCTGCGGGCCACATGCAGCCCGCCGAAAACATTTATCCGGCCCACCGGGTGTTTTTGCCGCCGCTGTGTGCATAGGAATTTGTTCATAGTTTTTTTTTTAAACTATAGTCCGGCCCTCCAACGGTCTGAGGGACAGTGAACTGGCCCCCCGTTCAAAAAGTTTGAGGACCCCTGTTTAGGGGGTGGTTGTGCTGGCTGCCTCTGGGCTGGCACTGGCCAGGGCACCTCTGGGACAGACTTGACCTCCCAGGTGTTTCCACTGTGGTTCTCGCTCTGAAGCCAGGGGCGGGGTGGGCGTGGGAGAAAGGACAGTGAGAACAGCGAGAGGCTGGGTGGTGCAGGCTCCCAGCAGGGCAGGTGGCAGGCAGCACGGGCTCACGGTCTCTGTTTGCGGGGAGGAAATTTTTTTTTTGTTCTTAAATATATTCTTATTGATTTCAGGGAGGAATGGAGAAGAGAAACATCAATGAGGAGAATCATGGATCGGCTGCCTCCTGTATGCCTCACTGGGCATCGAGCCCTCGACCAAGGCATGTGCCCTGACTGGGAATCGAACCATGATCTCCCGGTTCATAGGTTGACACTCAACCACTGAGCCGTGCTGGTCGGGCTGTGGGAGGAAGTTTTCATGCACGTGGTGTCTGTCTCCTGTATGTGCCTCATGGCACACGGTCACTCAGCAGTCATGGCATCCCACAAACATTTACGGAGCAACCATCTGGTGCCAGACTCTGCAGGGAGCTGGGCTTCGTCCCTGGGGAGCTGGCTTTCCGGGAGGAGGGGACGATCCATCATGTGAAGACATAACTGCCGGGCAGTGTGGTAAGCGCATCAAAGAGGGGCGGGCGTGGGGCCAGGCGGGCAAGGAGGCACTGCTGAACCCACCCCAGAATTAGGGCAACAGCTCAGAAGGGCTGAAACCCGAGCCAGGTCCTGCAGAGCAAGGGGGTGCTTGCCCAGGGGCGGGGCACGCCCTCAGAGGGCACAGTACGGCTAAAGTGTGACAGTATGTGGTTCCAGGGCTGGGGATATGCAGCAGCGATGGCTGGGACAGAGCCATTTCCCAGCTGAGGAGTGAGCGCCTGCAGCTGCCCCATCTGCCCGCAGTAGGGATGGGGAGGGCGGAACCTAATCCGCTTATCAGCTGGGCATCGCCCAGTCCTGCCTCCACTCTGGCTGCTCTGTCCTTCTCCTTAGTCAGCAGGTCGCCACCCGGGGCATGTGAACCGCACCTGCCGCTTGTTCCGCGCTGGGTGGGTGGGCTGGGAGGGTCCCATGGCTACGAACGGCTGCTTATCACCTGTTCCTGCTCCAGGATTTATTAGGGCGGCGGCCCAGCCGTGTTCCTGCACACGTCCACTGCGTCATCACCTGCGGTGTGGGTGCTGGGAAGGTGGGAGAACAGGACTCTTTTTTTCTTAAAATATATTTTTATTGATTTCAGAGAAGGGAGAGAGAAACATCAATGAGAATCACCGACTGGCTGCCTCCTGCACACCCACTACTGGGGATTGAGCCACAGCCCCGGCATGTGCCTTTGACCAGAATCGAACCTGGGATCCTTCAGTCTACAGGGCAGCGTTCTATCCACTGAGCCAAACCGGCTAGGGCTGCATTTTCTTACTTTTATGTTTATGAAAAAACACCCTATTGTTTTTCAATGAATATATGGTGCCCTGAATCCCAGGGCTCACTGATTAGATTTACTGACACATTTACAGGGGTGGACACATGTAGGCTTTAGTTGTGAGTACATGAAACAGTTTATTCTTATATTCTTATTAAGTCTTGTATTGTTTATCTGTAGTGCAAATGTAAACCTACTTTCGCCAGCCTCTGTATTTAGCTACTTGAATGTAAGTTTACCAGGATGTAGGCTCCACAAGAGTAGGATCTTGAAATACTCCCTCCTACATCCCGTGCCTGCCCCAGGGCCTGGCTCAGACAAGTTGCCACCGTCAATGTGTTGAGTAAATGAGCAGAAGTGTGGTTAGTGATCTCTGCAGCAGCCGCAGGAGTCGCATGAGCCATACAGCAGCCTGCGAGTGCTCAGCGGCGTGTCCAAGCTTCACAGCTAGCGAGTGGCCGTAGGTTCCTGGGGTGTCTGTGCATCTGCTTCCATTAGGCCACACCTGGCGTAACTCCGTGTTGGATACCCGGCTTCCTGTCCGGGCTACGAGGAAAACTTCATGGGGCCTGGGGCACGTTAGAAAGCTTGAGTGTTCTGAGCCTCGTTCTTCTAATCATGTGAATCAAGACAAGGGCTGTTCTAAACTCTCCAGGCCCCTGCCGGCTCCAAACTCTCACTTGTAAGTCAATCATTAGTACAGTATTTGCTTCCTGCCTCAGAGGAGAAATACACGGGAGCGTAATCAAGATGTGGATACATGGCTCTGGGGTCTTGGACCCTGAGAGGTCTGCATGGACCTTCCTTTTCCTGGGCAGGGAACCAGGTAACTGGGTATTTGCCAGGCAGCGGCTGCCCTTGTCCTTGCTAGTTCTCTCATCTGGGGCAAAACATTCGGCTCCTCCAGATCTCTTCTGTGAAGGTGAGTGGGACAATGCACTTAAGAGGGAGTTGAAATTGCTTGCTGCTCTGCCGCGTGGAAGTGAACACTGCTCACACTAACTGGCCCTGCTGTGAAGGTTGCTCTAGGGCAGTGACGGCGAACCTTTTGAGCTCGGCGTGTCAGCATTTTGAAAAACCCTAACTTACCTCTGGTGCCGTGTCACATATAGAAATTTTTTGATATTTGCAACCATAGTAAAACAGACATATTTTTGATATTTATATGCCATTTAACAAAGAAAAGTCAACTAAAAAAATGAGTTTGCGTGTCACCTCTGACACACGTGTCATAGGTTCGCCATCACTGCTCTAGGTGGCTCCCATATTGCAAATATTGCTTAACTATGTGACTACAGTAAACACACGACCCATGCCTTTCTTTTTCTGGAAGATAAACTATTAAACATGCGATCTTGCACAGGTCATTAAGGCAGTAAGAATGCAACCTTGACTGTGGCTAAGATCAGCATAGCTCTGCGGGCCAGAGTGAGGGGGGAGGCCAAGGGGCCAGGACCGTGTCAGAAACCGGGATATACCGTCCCACTGAACACTCAGTAGATACTGCTGACAGGGCAAACCCCTACCCTCCGCGGCAGCCATTCCAATAGATCTGAGGTGCATTTTCTTACTTTTATGTTCGGGAAAGAAAACCCTATTGTTTTGTATGCATTTCGATGAACGGATGGCGCTCTCAATCCCACCCTGCTTTTACTTTTTAAAAAATATTTTTACTCATTTCAGAGAGGAAGGGGGAGAGAAACATCCACGATGAGAGAGAAGCGTTGATCGTCTGCCTCCTCCACGCCTCGAGTCCACAACCTGAGCGTGTGCCCTGACCCTGGAATTGAACCGTGACCTCCTGGTTCATAGGTTGACGCTCAACACTGAGCCATGCTGGCCGGGCCTGCTTTTACTTTGAATCACGAAGCACCATGCTCACAAGATCAGTCCATGTTCCAGGATGGACGCCCAGCTGCTGCATCAGATACCAACAGCACTGCAGCGCCCACCGCGTTTACTCCCACTGGGAGATGCGCCGTGTGTGTGTGTGTGTGTGTGTGTGTGTGTGTGTGTGTGTGTCGAACGTGCGGGGGAAGAGTAGAGTAATGTGAACCCTCAGCTCTGCTGGTGGGAAGGCGAGCCCGCACAGCCGTTCTGGAGAACCTGGACTCGCGCTGGTCCCACCCAGCCACACATCTGTGTTGTGACACCCAGGAGCTGGGGATGGGGCACTGGACACCCGTCTGGGCAGCTCAGGAGGGACCACTGTTAAGTTTCAGGAATTTGGTGAGCTGGTTTCTCCATTCAGCCATCACTAAAAGCTGAATTACACGTTAGTATATCACATACAGTATCTTACATATGCACATACACTAACAACAACATACGTGCTCCTGACTCACCTCCCTAATGACTTCGCCGCGCTTTACCATGAGCGAGGCCTGGAGGCCACCGCATTCTGCTCCACGGTGAAGCTACCTCAGGGGGTCCCACGGCCCAGTTCGTCCCCACTCCGAGCTCCAGACGTCGAGCTGGCAGCTTGCAATAGGCCAGGGCGGGGACAATCACACACGGAAATCAGCGGACACCATGAAACCAGGTCTGTGTTTGCTTGTTTTTGATTTGCCCTGAGAGCCGATGGTGAAACATGGGTTCGCTGGAAACCAATGTTAATCCTCCTTCATAAATGAGGGAAACGAGGCTCAGCCAGGTTATGAAACGTGCCTCACATCATAAGACATAAGCAGGAAAGATTGGATGGAGACCCAGGTCTGTCTCAGGCCTGTACTTTGATGAAGATTAGAAGTGAGTTATTCCATTTAGACTATAAAATTCTCCTTACCTCACCACCACCAAAGCACTTACAATTTTGGTGTGTGTGTGTGTTTAATCCATTGGCTGCCAGGCCTGAGTACAGCGTGGAATCAAGAAAAGGAGTTTTTAGAAACATCTGCTTACCCATCGAGTGTCGCTAGCGGCTCACTTGCCGCTGTGTACAGAGCACATGAAAGATACATGAGCCCACTTTCAGGTGGCGCTGGGAGGTGGCAACTAATCCTGAATGTGGCGGCTGCGGTACTGTAGCTACTGCTTAACCTTATGCTTGTGAATAAGTAACGCCACCTGCACACTGGAGGGGGTGACCCTGTCCCTGCCTGTGTCCAGACCTTGGCGCTTGTTTACACGGAAGTACTTCCTAAATTTTCCTTCGAGGGTGACTTAAAACTTAGCCCCATTTTTTTCTTTTTATTTTCAAATAGTTCTTTCTCACTGAGTCATTCACACAGTCATCAAAGAACATTTACAAGCCCCTGTTTTGTACAAGACATGGGGGAAAATGAGAATGAATAATGAATAACCCTCAGAGGCTAATAGCTCAGCATGAGAAACATGCATTTAAAATTTTTTATTTATTGATTTTACAGAGAGGACAGAGGGAGAAAGAATGAGAAAGAGAGAG